TCATTTTTAAGAAACAATTTCCAGCTACTTACCGTGCACAATTTGAAATCGATTATTTTTTCGGTGAGAAATTCCTGGCCAGACACTGAAGCTGCCAAAACTCACGTGAGAGCTTCGATATTGAACTTTGAGCCAGTTTATATACACTGTGGAGCCAGTGTCCTTTTGAAAAAAAAACGAACTATAGACAAAATACAGCGCTGACGTACCGTAAAATGGGGTGTTAAGGGACCGTGGGGTGATAAGGGACAGTTGCGTGGGAAAAACTTTGAGTCATATTATGTTCCTAATTTGAGAAGGTTAACCCGCGCACCGACGGGGGTCTGCGCCAGCTTCGCACCGACGGGGGGGGGGCGGATGACCGCCCCCCCCCCCCCTGAGATCTCAAGAACGAAGCAAGATAGCGACAAGCGGTAAACGGCATCGGATACGCACGGTCAAGATCTACAATTTTTACAAAGGTCATTTTCAGGTCAGGTCAAAGATGACGTCACAGGGGTCGAAAAAGTCAAAATGGCGGCGCTAGATATGGAGTTTTTCTCGAATAACTTTCGAATTAGTCAAGATAGGAACAAACTAAGGGCATCATCGTGATCCTCTCGTCAATCCGCATCGAATGATATATATGTTGACCTCGAAAGGTCAAGGTCAAAGGTTGACCTCAGGTCACGTGACCTCGAGGTCATCATGTATATCATTCGATGCGTCTTGACGAGCTGAACACAATGAGACCATCCACGCGTCTGTATCTTGTTCCTGTACGGAGTTATTGGCCAAAAACCTTTGGTGACCTTTGATGACGTCACATGACCTCACAGCTGCCCAACAGCAAAACAGACCTCAAGGTAGTGAAGGTTGATCGTATATGAAGTCATGTATGGTATATGGGGCCATTCCGACCCGTTTTAGTGGTAAAAACAGGGAGTTGATTTTTCCCCCATTGACTTATAATGGGGAGGTCGCGAAATTGACCTGACCTTAGGTCACCGATATCAAAATTCCGAGATATACAAATTTTAGCTACTAATGACCTAATAACATCCTGCGACTTTCAAAGGCCTCCGACATCTACTGTAGCTCTGGCACGGTGACAAAGTTGCAAAAAAGCGACTTGAGGTTGGGTCATTCAAAGTGACCTGGTGACCTGACCTTGATAGGTAGGAAGTTCAAACTTGCACACCATGTGTAAAATTGATGAGGTAATAGTCGTACAAAATTTCGCGGCCGCGGTTTTCCCGCTATTCGCAAAAAAACCTCAGGGGGGGGGGGATATCCGCCCCCCCCGTCGGTGCGCGGGTTAAATAAAAACTTGAGTGTGGTAGTTGACACTGTTTTGTTCTTGACTATAGGACAAAATGGCATGGTTTTTCATGCAAGTGATTTGGTTCAAAAATGGTTTTGAAAATCATGCTACATTTTCACAAAATTGAAACATCTCCAAAACTCTGTGTGTACCACATAAACTGGTAGGTGACAGGGAAAATGAATGCATAGGTGTATTGTCACATGTGTTGCACATGTTTCCTGAAAAACTTATACATATCCACTGATTCATTCATCATCCTCTACCTCTTTTCCGGACGCATGCACATCTTGAGGTGGATGTGGGGTGCTAAGGGACAGGGAAGAAAAAATAAAAAATAATATCTAAGTATAATTTCATAAAGTTTTCTTTCAGTGGGCATGGAAAGCACCAAATTCCACATAAAATGCTGGCAAGTTCATGCTTTTATCTCTAGCACATCTTAAGTTACATAACAAAACACCTTAACCCGCGCCGGGCCGGTGCTCTGAGATTCCGCGCCGGGCCGGGGAGGGGTGTCTGAACACCCCCCCCCCCCCCTTCTAACTCGGCTCCTGGGCCACGTAGCGACACGCAGTAAGCGGCAATCGAAAGAACGTCCAAAATAAGGACGAAAACACTTCGGTCATTTTTTGGGTCAGGTCAAAGGTCAGGTCACCAGAGGTCACCAAGGGTCAAATGTTCACTATTTCAACATTTTGGAAACTGCCAACGGCTATCTCGGGAACCGATAGAGCTACAGCGCCGCAGAAAAGCGCATTCGATAGCCCCTTTTACAGACCTTTCTGAGTAATGTTCTCAGATTTGACCTCAGGTCAACGGTTTAGCCTCCAGAGGGCAAAAACTCCAAAAATAGCCGTTTTTACGAAAGACGTTTTTCGGCAATAACTTTTGACTCAAAAAAGCCATGACATTATTTTTGCCACCATCGTGTTCCTCTCGTCGAGACGCGTCGAATGAACTATAATTTGACCTTGAAAGGTCAACTTGAAAATTTGATCTCAGGTCAAGGTCATGACCTGACCGGAAAAGGTCATGTTGCATATCAGTCGATCCGCAACGTCGAGCCGAACACATCTAAGGCGTTTTTAGCGCTCTAGCACGCCTCTATCAGAAGTTATTAGCGAAAAACTGTTAGATTCTGTTCGTGACCTGAGATGACCTCGGGGACATAACGAGGGGTCACAGTTGCCATTTTCCGGTTCAGTGTGTCCATTTTACCTACACCTCGATGTTTGAGAGTGTCTAGAATAGCGTTCGTGCAAAACAGACGCTTTTCAATTTTCTCCCATTGACTTATAATGGAGAGGTCGCAAAATTGACCTGACCTTAGGTCACCGATATAAAAATTCCGAGATATACATTTTATAGATAATGTTGCTCTAATCAATCGCTGAAAGTTTCAATGCAATCTATCAATCGGTGTAGCTATGACGAGCATTCTTATTTTTTTCTGAGGTGAGGTCACTTGGCGTGACCTGGTGACCTGACCTAAGGTGACCTGGGTCTGAAATTTTCACAATATGTGCGGAAAAGATGCACGAACAGGTGTGCCAAAAACGGCGGCGCCGCCGTTTTTGAGATATCTGCGATAAACCGCAGGGGGGGGGGGGTGTTCAAACACCCCCCCCCCCCGGCCCGGCGCGGGTTAAAACTCCCGTAACACTCTCTTTTACAATGATGGGTCAATGAAGACTGATGTAGGTAAATGTGATGTCATCATAAAAAGGCCAAAACAAAGAGGGCAACATAATGACAAGTGACTAGCTTCAAAATGGGTTTTTGTTGATGACAGAAGGGTACTTTTTGGTTCTGTTAACCTTAAAATTAGCACATTTTCCAGAAGCGTAAACTGCATATCATGTAATTGGCTAAAAAGGCCACTAGTGGTGAATGAACCTGACTTGTTTTGTGACAGGATATGCAAAACATTTCGATAAATAAATTGTGTGCTCTTTCACACCCCGATTGTGGGCATTTGATGACCATTTCTTGGAATAATATAGGTGTCCCTTAACGCCTCACATTGGGGTGCTAGGGGACAGTAATGAAGAAAATAAAAAATAATATGGAGGGATATATTTTTAAAACTTAAATGTGGCAGGCATGTAAAGCACCAAATTCCACATAAAGTGCTGACAATTTGATGCTTCTATCTCAAACCCTTCTTGAGTTATAAAACAAAACACCGTAAAACTGTCCCTTAACACCCCATTTTACGGTACCGCTCGGGCCTCTACACTATCGTTACAAACTCCCTTTTTCACAATAGGTACGCATCCGTTTCCGTTCTCTACCCTCCACCGGCCGCCTACATGCAGTGGTAGCGCAGCGCAGTGGTTAGGGTCCCCGCATCAAGATCCATAGGTCTTGAGTTCGAATCTCTGGGGATCTAGTAAGAGGCAAAGGGTACGCGGTTCTCCCACGTGTGACCATATTGCTTTTTGGGATTCACGCGGAAATAATGGTCGACATAAGCTGGGTCCCAAATCCCAATTAAAACCCATGTGGGCTTTTTGCATGCGTCAATGTGAGTCCCAACTGGGAAAGCCCGTGTGGGATCCATACACATGCACATCGACGCATTTTTTCCAAACCCCATATCTGTTCTCCCGTGAATTTCCGGGAGGCACGAAAGATCCCATTTAAAAAGTGTCCAATAATTCGATCCTGATCAAATATGTGTGTTAGTAAGGTTGTTCCGACATTGCTTGATCTGCTAAGGCAGACAAACTTGAGAAAAATCGAGTCACTACCATTTTTGAAAGTTTCTTTTAAACTTGTCCGAAATGCACGGGAAAGCAGATATGGGGTTTGGAAAAAAACACAGCGATATATCCCAACTGGGTCCTATATGGGCCCCACTTGGGCTGCCCATGTGGGTCCCAACTGGGAAAGCCCATATGAGGCTCAATATGGGCCCCAGTTGGGTCCAACATGGGCCCCACCTGGGGTGCGCAGATAGGACCCAGTTGGACGCCCATGACATGCCCATCTGGGTCTGTGGTGGGCAGCCCCAATGGGCCCCAGTTTGCTGCCCATGTGGCCTGTGGGCCCCACTTGGGAAGGCTGGCTGGGGTGCTTTCATGAGTTATGAAATATGAAAATATTATGGTGTTATAGCCTATACGTCATAGGTGGTAATTTACTATCAACAATTGTTAAATTTTAGCAGCATCAACCAAGGACCAGGGTTCAAATCACAGAAGAAAAAAAATTCAAAATTTGCAATGGAACACTGTTGTCAGCAAAAAATGACAAAAAACTGATTTACTCTGATCTGACAAATAAGCAGGATTGACAAACTCCAAGCTATAGGCATAAGCTCAGAGGCTTGTGCAAAGATCTTAATTGCATATGATCAGTACAATTTTAGATCTAGTCTTTACATCTTGACCCATGATGCCATCTGATATTTCCAGGAGTGATTCAACCCATTCAACCTACCTTTCCAAGATTATTTGTGGCATCTAAAGGTGAAAATTTTGTTCTGAATTCTACTAACTAACAATTGACACTAACACTCTCTTATATAATCGTGACTGCCTATTATTTTTACAATTAGGTGTTTTAAGAAATGGTTGGGGATCATAAGGCAAACAGGACTGTTCAAATGATGTTATGTTACTTAGTGCATTTATTGACCAATAGAGGCATCTTAATTCTTATACAAGCAGACAAATATTGAGCCACTTACATGTTTCACCAGCAGAACCCTTGTAAGGCGCTTTCCTTCCTTTGCTTTCCTTTTCGGCGTCCCTTTAGCCTTAGGAGACATATCTGCCTTTCCGTTGACTTTAAGAACAGATGCAGGTGGTGCAGAAATCTTCTTTGCCTTCTTCACCATGGTGAATGAGCAGCTGTTTGAAATAAAATTCAGTGATCAAATACCCATTATATTGATATCTTGCATAAACAGATTTTTGGCATTATTTTGAGGCAGAAAAATTAAAAAACAAACGATATTCAAAACCTCATGTAGCAAACAGTTGGCATTTTGGGGGGCTTGGACAGGCAAAGACAAACTATTTTTAAGGGACCCCACCTTCAAAAAAGTTATGAATGAATGAAGAGTTATGAAAAAGTTATGAATATGAATTGGCATAAAAGTGATGTCCCTTGATTCAGAAAGATCCAAAATGAATACCTATCAACCAAATTTCTCTGAAAAATATTCACTGGTTTCCACAGGGGCGCGGGAACTACGTTCACACTGGGGGGGCACACCATAATCGAGATCAACCTCGGGTACCCCCAAATCTAGTTTTTTTCACTGGTTTTAGGCCACTTATTTTTCATCCCTTGGCTTTTTCAACAAAAAAGAAAACATTTGCAAAAAAGTGTGGTATTCAATCTCAAAACTGTGGGGGCATTGCCGGGCCCCCACTGCCCCCCGGCTCCCGCGCCTATGGGTTTCCAAGATCGCAGACTTTCACTTTTGTTTACTTTTTTGGGACCTCCACTGTTCCTACAACATCATTTGAAAACAATAATTTGGCATCCTTAAAGTGTGACAGATGATGCGCACAATGCAGCATACCCATATCACTACACCACGTGCTACCTACCAAACGTTTTAGTAAAGGTTTAAAAATTGTTAGATCTGCGCTGACATCACACATTCAGAGGGGGCATTAAAAACATTACATTAGCCCATCTGAATCCAAAAGCTGCAACTTTGAGAACATACTTTTGAATTAAAGCATTTTTTTGTTGTTGTAGTACCAAAACGAGTAATTGCAGGCCAGGGACCCCAATTTGGCTATCTCAACTCAAAACTAATGTTAGGGTGGGATGGTCACTTAACTTAACTAGTGTAGCATAAGACACCCTGGCTATGCCGTGGCTTTAGCCTTTTGGTACCTACGGCTACTTGCCTTTTTTACACCCTCCAAAACAAACCCTGTCACTCAAGACACTGGTCAAGACACTTAGGTAACAATACTGCTACTTAGGAAAAAAATAGCTTGAGCTCCTTACAATAATCCAATCAATAATCTTTATTGCAATTCTTCCCAAATTAAAACTAAGGTAATAGACCACGACCCAGGCCAAATACCACAACCCCGTCCCATGTAAAACACTGCGCTACCAATGCGCACACACGTGTTGTGACGTGAGGAAGCATGGATGTTTGTCACCTCAGCGCCACAATGACACGCACAGGTTGAAAAGTGCTAATTTACTGCTATGATTTATATTTTAGAAGATTGGTTGCATCAAATGAAAATAAATCGTAAATCTTTACACGAATGCAGTTAGGCGCATTTGTGAAGCGGTCAAATCATTGAAATATCAATATTACTATTTGTTATAAAAAGAAGAAACCTCTAAAGAGGCACGCCGTGCCCGTCCCGGTGCCCTCCCCGTTCCGCTGCCTAGTGCCTATGTCTAAAGCAAAAAACGAGCGTGTTGCCCGTCACGAGAGGAAGCCCGATGATACCCAATGCTAAGGTCGTAGGTCATCGGTTGACCTTCCAGGCCAGTTCAATGACCCAAAAATCGGGAAAATTGGGACCTGTTAGAAAGTCGTAAAGTGTGGCTGCAATGGGGTTTTCGGGGTGCTGATCACGAATATCGTGTTAGTTTTGATCACAGATGATGTCTTTAACCCGCGCCGGGCCGGTGCTCTGAGATTACGCGCCGGGCCGGGGGGTGTCTGAACACCCCCCCCCCCCCCGTCTAACTCGGCTCCTGGGCCACGTAGCGACACGCGGTAAGCGGCAATCGAAAGAACGTCCAAAATAAGGAAGAAAACACTTCGGTCATTTTTTGGGTCAGGTCAAAGGTCAGGTCACTAGAGGCATGGGCGGCGCCACCGTGGGGTACGTGGGGTACTAGTCTAGTACCCCACAGTCATTTGACTGTGGGGTACTGCATATACCCAGTAGGCCAAGGGGCAATGCTGGGCATCGCCGGACCGCAGGTTGTTTGAAGAAAAAAAAAACGCATAAACGCATCAGGGGCCGTTGGAAGCAGGAACTGAGCTGTTTACGACACTCTACGTGGGGTGAATGAAAAGTTTTGAGCCTAACACAGTTACAGGTGACGCAGGTTAACAGGGCCTCGGCTAACATGTTAACTGGTGGGCCAAATGGCCCACCAGTGACCCGAAATGGCCCACCAGCCTCAAAGATTTGGCCCACCAGTAATTTTCCGAAAAATCTAAGTTTTCACATTTCAAATTGAACTAGCAGATCTTATCGTACATTTTCAGGCTGTAAAGTACCCATCAGTGAAACATATTCTTGTGAAAAAACTTCAACCTATTGTTTGCAATATCCTCTTGGGTAAAAAGTGGAAGAACAGACCAGTTCAGACAGTCGGGGATAAGCCTGCGAGCGATCTCAGACGGCTGGCCGATAGACACGATATAAGCCAGAGTCAAACTAGAGGTAGTGTCGGCGACTTCCAGCCGATTGAAGTCTGCAAGCGATATTAATACTGCAGAATTTTGGCCACGACCCTGTCGCCGAATCACGTCGTGTAGGAAATCGGCGAACAGTTTACCGACAGAGGCGAACAGTTCGCCGACAGAGCCCGATTTGCAGAAAACGGGTGGGGCCCCCCTAATCGTGCGCGGGTCGAAGCTGATCCATGTTTCGGCGAACATCGCGAATGAATGGCGAATCTGTTGCAAATAGTCGGCGATGCCTTGGCAACAAGTCGACGCACGCAGCGACATGTCGGCGGCGACTCGGCGACTGTTTGGCGATCATGTTCGTTTATTATAAATTCGGCTAACGGCCACGAAATTTTCATTTTTCATGAAATATTCGTGGCGGTCGTGACGAACCGTAAAAGTCACGCGGTGGACACCGACTGGTCTGCGAAATGCCAAGACCGTGGAAGAAAGATCCCGAATCGGTCCGCGACATAGGATGACTTTCATATTCGTGCACATTCGTGTACCAAAATTCGGCTTTATGCGTCTTCACGACCGGTATGATGCTTGCAGTCACACATCTGACCAGTCGGACGAATTTCGAACCGTTCACAGTCACCGTTCCAAAAATTTCTCATTTGGGCTGAAGATGACACTCAAGAATAAGAAAGGATAATTTTCCACTCTCACATTTTGGGTGGCTAGAATTTTCCACTCAGACACCCAAGACAAATCGGAAGTTTGGCACACTGTTCACCAGAAGTGTACATAACTTTTTTTAAAGAAAATATTAGGGTTGCGCACTCACGCGCAGTGCGCTTGGGCTGTTGAGTCAATTCTTTTCCATGCGACACCAATAGGCTTAACCCTCGCCGGCACAGGGGGGGGGGGGTTGATGCAACCCCCCCCCTAAGGTTTTTCGCGAATAACTCGCGTAAAAAGCGGCCGATCGCGACGAAACTTTCAGTACCCTCGCATTGATCAATTTTACACCTATCCTGAAAATTTCATGACCCTGACCCAATTGACCTTTGACCTGTGACCTCTTTTCTGAGACCATGTTTGGCCGGAATCGCGATTCGGCGTATGTCGGCTCGCATTAGCCGCGCGTTTGCAAGCTTTTCGTGGTTTCAAACGTTCAAACATGTGATTTGATGTTGCTCCCATGCATTAGGGTGGGTGTCAAGGTCACCTGAAGGTCAGGTCAGGACATTGACCTTTGGTGACCTCGGGTGACCTCGGTTCACTTTTTCGAGTTTTACATGTTTCTAGGCTAGTTTTTGGAGCTGAATTCGAATTTAGCATCCATTTGAACATTTACGAAGTAGTTTCGGTGCCTTCGTAACATGTTACGAAGCTGTCAGAGGCGGTTGACACGTATTACGAATACCCGTCACAACCCCTACTGGTTGACCTGACCTGACCTGACCCGACCTGGTCTAAATGCTTAAAGACATCATCTATGATCAAAACTAACACGATATTCGTGATCAGCACCCCGGAAAACCACATAGCAGCCACGCTTTACGACTTTCTAACAGGTCCCGATTTTCCCGGTTTTCGGGTCATTGACCTGATCTGGAAGGTCACCCGATGACCTAGGACCCTAAAATTGGGTATCATCGGCTTCATCTCGTGACGGGCAACACGCTCGTTTTTTCCGCGAAGCTCTAGCTCGATCAGGGGCCAAACGCGAGGGGGGGTCGTACCCCCTCCCCCTTGTGCCGTCGAAGGACGCAAAATGGCGTGTGCCGGCGAGGGTTAATGATCATTTTCAGAGATGTTGGGGTTGCTGCTACAACCCTCTTTTGGGGTTCCTGCTACAACCCACTTTATATATAAAGTTGCACTCGTGCTGTTCACAATTCCTCCCGATCCACCCGACAACGCCCGATCTCTTCCGACCGCTTCCGAATCTCCGACTAGTCGGCGAGCGATCCACTCAGGGCTCGCTGATTTTTAACATCCGACCGGCCGTAAGTTATCGTCCAAGGTTTTATAGTCTGCGTCAATATTTTGTGCATACTTGTGCGATTTTATGTGCACTGCCGGAGTATCACCGCTGAGAGGGTTGTGGGTCCCTTGTCTCTGCTCTCTCTGAAGAGTCGGGGGGGGGGGGGGATCGAGCCCCGTTTTTTTTTACATTTTTTTAAATGCCATCCTGACGTTTTTTGCAGAATAAAGTGGCCGAAATCTGGGAAGAAATAGAAAATTGGGGGGGGGGGGGGGCTATGGCTACGAAGGTCAGTCCATGTCGCTGCCCAAGTGGCCCACCAGTCAAAATTCCTTAGCCGAGGCCCTGCAGGTTAATGAAAATTTGGTAACACATTTTGCCACTATTCTTAGGTGTGTACACCAAGTTTTGAAGTCCTAGTCCTTTTCGTTTCGTTTTTAGAGCCCGTTAAAGTGAAGAAGATTCCGCGTTCGGTGAAAAGGGAGAAAATCGAGAACCGAGCTTTTATAAAGTATTGCGATTTCAAAGCCATGCCCTCATCTGAAATTAAAAAGGACCTGAAATTAAACTTATTGGTTGTGGTCCATCATATGGCACTGTTTAGGTTTGAGCTGCTAATTTCAAGCAGGGCAGGAATAGCGTCCAAAATGAACAAATATCAAAAACGCCGTAGAATGCGACAAAATCGGAAAACATTGACCCTGCTCTAGGGGTGTGGATGCTGGATCAAAGACTGTGACCTCATCAGATAGCGGTAAGAATGGACATCTCCCAGGAGCAGGCTGGCGACATTCTTACTAATGGGTATGGCATGAGAAAGGTCTCTGCGTCAGGGGCGCGGGAACTACTTTCCGACTGGGGGGGGGGGGGGGGCACACCATAATAGAGATCAACCTAGGGTACCCTCAAATCTAGTTTTCTCACCGGTTTTAGGCCACTTGTTTTCAGTGGCGGATCCAGGATTTTCACTGGGGAGGGGCTGCAGGTCATAATTGGGCGCCACGCCCCGGATGGGCGTACTGAAACGACGTTATTCGACTGATTTTTGCATCCTAGTCCTAGTATGCGGCACTCCGATGAGTTGCGAATTGAAAATTGGCGCCACTGCGCCTTCGGCGCAGTGGCGCCAGTTTTCCTTGGGTGGGGGCTGCCAGCCCCCGCAGCCCCCCCCCTGGATCCGCCACTGCTTGTTTTTCATCCCTCGGCTTTTTCAACAAAAAAGAAAACATTTGCAAAAAAGTGTGGTATTCCGTCTCAAAGCTGTGGGGGCACCGCCCCCACGGCTCCAGAGTTGGGGGGGGGGGGGGCAAGCTGCCCCCACTGCCCCCCCGGCTCCCGCGCCTATGCTCTGCGTATTGGGCCTCTTGGCTTTCTGCTGCAGAGCACGACGAGAGATGTGTAATGACATTTGGCGCTAGTTGAAGCAGATTCTGAGAATTTAAAGTCACTTTTCGCCACCGCTGATAAACTGCGGGTGTTTCACTTCAATCTAGCGTTGGAAGAACAGTGGAGTCAGTAAAAGAACGTCTCTACTCTCATCTGAAAAATTAAATGTCACAGTCACAACAAGGAGGAAAGTGTTCCGTAATTGGGAAAATAAATGACATGTCTTGCAAGTGCACTCCTTTTCAAAGGGTCTTACTGTAATGGGGCATTACTAGGATGACCCACCGATAGGTACACCTTTGTTAGAAAATCAGGAAGATCAGAAGGGCAATGCTGACAAAATTGGTCGTGTTTCACCAGGACAATAAATCGGGGTATTTT